AAAAGAAATGAAAAAAAAAATTAAAAGAAATGGAGAAGACTAAATCCCAAAGAAAAGTATAACTAGAGGTACCTATCAGAGAGGTGAAAAGTAAAACAGTATCGTAAAGAATAATGCTTGGAGGAAACGAGGATTGTACCTCGGTTGAACTTTGAAGATAAGTTGTCTGTAGACCCTTTTGCTATTCCTGAAAAATTACAGTGTTTAAAAAACTGCTTTTTAAATGAGATGTCAATTCATATTGTGTTTTAGGAATCTGGAAACTCTTTAGAAGAAGCCTAGTCATTTGGAACTGAAGAATTCCTTTGTATCAGATACTAAAATGAAAGAACCTCTATTAGGTGGTGAGGATGACAAGGCAATGGCTCCACAATTGTTGCATCTAGATGACATTAAGACAGAGCCCAACAATGAGCAAGTAAATACTTTGGTCTTATTTTTTTCTTTCTATAGCAACATTTAGTTAAAAATTTTAGTTATGCAAATACTAACTTATGAATTAAAATAACTCAAATTCTTACCTTATCTTCTCAAAAGGAGTTGATTAAATATATCACGTTAAGTGCCATAATGAGTACATGCACAAAAGGGATTTGGAAGAATGAGCTATTTAAAATTGGACTTTTAGAGAGGTAAAGGAATTGCTTAGACTGTCACGGCACTAGCTGATACTAACATATTTTGTTTTATTAATTATCAATATTTTCTTAGCATAAAATAATACAAATAACTAACGTTTTACGATACTACCTCTATCAAGTAAGGGAGAAAATTTGTAAACATTTCTCAGATGTACAATTTAATAATATCAATTAATCATACCATATAGCCATCACACATAATATTCATTACTAAAATTTTTGTCACCATAAACAGAAACTCAGTGCTTCTAAATGAAACTCCTTCCTTTCCCATTCCTTCCTATCCCTTAAAATCACTTCATTAACCACTTAACCAAATTAACTTGATTTCTATATGTCTACCTATTAGTGTTATTTCATATAAGTGAGATCATAATTGTATTTACTCTTTAGTGATTGCTTTATTTCATTCAGCATGTTTTCAGGATTCATTTGTGTTATAGATCATGATGTCATATTTTTGTTTGTTTAACAGAACAAGTCATATGAATTTATTAAAGATGTGCCGTTTCTTATTTAGCTTTCTGACTTTGTGCTTGTGCCTTCAGTGCTTTCACAACAATTTTCTGCTCCTCAATAAGGAAAGTACGCTTGATCCTGTCACGGACACACTTAGCGCACATGGGACCACCGTAAGCTCTGCTGACATGTTTTTTTGTTCTTGACAACCTCATGAGAACTTTAGGTCTCACAGCACAAACCCCTCTGAGTTGGCCCTGGCACACACCACATTTAGATTTTGGTGCTTTTCCAACCTTCTTGGTATAAAGGTAAACAGTTCTGTTACCAGAGGTTCGGGACAGCCTGGTTCTGTTAGAGGCTGTGTTGCAGGACAGCCTATGATGGTAGGTCAGATGCTGGACCATTTTGAGTGCCTCTACACAGTGCCTCTGGAAGAGGAAGAAGGACTTCATTTTTCTTGATGGCTAAAACATACTCCGTTACATGTATGTACACCATTTTATCTGTTTATCCATTGATGGGTGTTTAAATAGTTTTTAGCTGCTGTGAAACATTGATGTCCATACGTCTGTGCACTACCTTCAGATTTCTTGGTTATATGACTAGAATATCTAGGTCATGTAGTAGTTCTGTATTCAGCTTTTTGAGGAACCACCAAATCTGTCTACAGCAGATGGACCATTTTGCATTTCCACCAGCTTTGGCTAAAGGTTTTGCTTCTCCATATCCTTTCTAAATGTATTCTTTCTTTCTTTCTTTTTTTTAAACCTTGGCCGCCGCCTTATTGTGTTCTCTTCAGTTGATTTTGAGTCACAGCCTGTGAGCAGCCATCTTCTTGCTGTTAAGATACCATTGAGTTGACAGCAGCTCACAGTGACCCTGTAAAAAACAGATCTGAATCCTCATCATCTTCGTCTCGCTCAAGCCCATTGTAGTCACTGTGTCCTTGTTGAAGGTCTTCCTCTCTTTTGCTCTTTTCCCAACTAAGTAGGATAGACACTGTAATGAGAATAAAATGGTCTCTAATAGCAGTTTTGATTTGCATCTCTCTAATATCCTTGGACTAATCTACTTCAAAGACCTCTCCAAAGTTCTAGGGAGCAATGATTATCAATTTAAAGTCTGTAGTGCACCTGAACCAGTCTATGGTCTTTTCAGTTACTTGCTGTGCATCCAAGAGTTGGATAACGAATAAGGCTGCTAGAAGAATAATTGCTGCCTTTGAGTTGTGGTGTTAAAAAATATACTGATTGTTCCACGAATTGTCAAAAGAATTACCAAGTAAGTTAAGTCTAGGAGAAAGTGCAACCAGGATGCTCCTTAGAGGCAAGCATGGTGAAGCTTCGGCTCACATACTTTGGGCATGTTGTTAGGAGAAGCCAAATCTTAGAAAAAGACATCATACTTGATAAGGTCGATGGTCAATGAAAGAGAGAAAGACCCTCAATAAATGGATTGACACAGTGACTCTAATAATGGCTCAAATATATTGGAGATGATAAAGATGGGCGGGCCATGGTTGACTCTATGCACCTAACAACAATGCCCAGGTTGTAGTGTTTAGTTTAGCAAGCTGCTAACCAAAAAGTTGCAATTTGAATCTACCAGCCACGCCTCCAGAGTCTCTTAAAGCTTATCCATCCTGGAAACCTAATAGAAAGTCAATATGAGATGGAACTAACACTAAGGCAGTGGATCTAATTCCAAATGGCATTGTGTATCTTTTCATATGCATTGTAAATACCTATTTAAGTCCTTTGTCTTATTTTATTATTTTTGTGTCTGTACCATCAAATTGGATCTGACTGGTACAGGAGGAGATTGTCCCTCCGTCTCTAGCAGAGCATCTGGTGGGTTCAAACCACACACCTCTGGGATTACACAGCAGCTTCCTGCTACTAGGTCACGGGAGTTCCCTGATATTTTCCTTTTTTGTTGTCTTTTTGTGTAATTGTGAAAACTATATATTTTTTGGATATTAGACCCTTTTCAGATATATGGTTCCCCAAAATTTTCACCTGTTCTATAGTTTGTCTTCAATAAAATTTTTTTCATTCTTTTATAAAGTCTGATTTATCTTTTTTTTTTTTAAACAAGTCCTGGTTTTTCACTGTCTGTGATAATTCATTGCTAAAAATTAGGCTCTGCAACCCTAAATTTTCTTGTAAGAATTATGACTTTAGTTTTCACATTTTATCCATTTTGTCCTTAATCCATTTTGAATTGAGTTTGTGGTGGTGTGGTTTTGTGGTTTTTTTAGTTAAATTTTTTTAATTAAATTAATTTTACTGAACATTTACAGATATTTTGAGTTTCCATTCATTCATTGTTGCACTATTTTCTCTACCCTCCCTACCATTCGTTCCTCCCCCCCCTTGAAAGTCTGTTTTGATTGTCCAATTGCCACAGTGCTTGTCAAAGCCATGTTGTTGTTTTTTTTAAGATCTTCATTCTTCTGCATATGAAGATAGTATTTTCTCAGCACCATTTATTGAAAAGTTGTTGTTGCTGTAGTGGTGGTGGTGGTGGTGTACAGTTGAGTTGTAACCAACCCATAACTTACTGTCAGGCAGGTTTTCAGAGGCAGTTAACCAAAAAAGATTGCCTGTTCTCCTGTGGAGCAGCTGGTGGATTCGAGCCTTGTGCCTTTGGGATTGCAGCACAACTTCTTGCCACTAGGTCACCACAGCTCCCATTTAAAATCCTTAAAATCTTTTTATATATTTATTTATAATATTTACTCCATATTAGGGGAGCTCTAGTGGCTTAGTGGTAAGGAATCACACTGGTTCAGATCCACCAGCAGCTATGTGGAAGAAAGATGGGCAGTCTCCTCCCATGTGATTTACTGTCTCCGAAAACCCACTGGAGGGTCAGCTATGGGTCAGTTCCAACTTAACAGTACACAACAAGAACAATCTTGTTTCTTTGTTTTGATTTTTTTCCCCCATAATGAACGAAGGCCAGATGAGTTGTGGGAGGATATCAAGGGTATCATCCAGGAAGAGTGCTGACGGTCATTGCAAAGACAGAAGAGGAAGAAAAGACCAAAATGGATGTCAGAAGAGACTCTGAAAATTGCACTGGAGCGCAAAGAAGCCAAAGCACAGGGAAGAATTCAAGATACTAAAGAGTTGAATAGAAAATTTCAAAAGGCAGCACGGGATGACAAAGCAAAATATTACAATGAAATGTGCAAGGAGTTGGAGTCGGAAAATCAAAAGGGCCGAACTCGCTCAGCATATCTTAAGCTCAAGGAACTGAAGAACAAATTCAAACCTCGAGTTGCTATAATCAAGGATGCTTTCAGCAGAACGTTAAATGATCCCGGAAGTATTAAAAAAAGATGGAAGGAATATACTGAGTCACTGTATTGAAAGGAATTGGAAGACACAGAAGAATTTCATGAAACAACATATGAGCAAGAGCCTATGGTGATGAAAGAAGAAGTTCAGGCTGCTTTGAAGGACATGGCCAAAAATAAGGCTCCAGGAATAGATGGTATACCAATTGACATATTTCAGTTAACAGATGCTGCCCTGAACGTGCTCACCAAGTTGTGCCAAGAAATCTGGAGAACGACCACTTGGCCAACTGACTGGAAGAGATCGCTATTTGTTCCTATCCCAAAGAAAGGCGACCCAACCGAATGTGGAAACTACAGAACAATTTCACTGATTTCATATGCAAGCAAGATTTTACTGAAGATTATCCAAAAACGACTGGAACAGCACATCAACAGAGAACTACCAGAAGTCCAGGCTGGTTTCAGAAGGGGTCGTGGTACTAGAGATATTGTAGCTGATGTTAGGTGGATCTTGGCTGAAAGCAGGGAATACCAGAGGAATGTCTATCTGTGCTTCATTGACTATGCAAAGGCATTTGACTGTGTAGATAATAACAAACTGTGGCTGACTCTGAGAAGAATGGGAATCCCAGAACACTTGATCGTTCTAATGCGAAACTTATACTTGGACCAGGAGGCAGTCGTCAGAACAGAGCAAGGGAACACTGCATGGTTCAAAATTGGGAAGGGCGTACGCCAGGGATGCGTCCTATCTCCATACCTCTTCAACCTATATGCAGAACAGATTATCCGGGAGGCTGGGCTCTATGAGGAGAAATGTGGGGTCAGGATTGGTGGACGATTTATCAACAATCTGCGTTATGCGGATGACACAACCCTGCTTGCTGAAACTGAGGAGGACCTGAAGCGCCTGCTGCAGAGTGTCAAGGACTGCAGCCTGCAATATGGATTGAGGCTCAATGTCAAGAAGACAAAGATTCTCACCACTGGACCAATTGGCAGCATCAGGATGGATGGTGAAGAGATTGAGATTGTACACAGCTTTAGTTTGCTAGGCTCCATAGTCAACAGTCTTGGCACCAGCAGACAGGAAACTAAAAGGCGCATTGCCATGGGAAAGTCTGCTGTTAGGGACCTCTCCAAAGTGCTGAAGAGCAGTGGTGTCTCTCTGGAGACTAAGGTGAGTCTGATACAGGCCATGGTCTTCGCAATCACCTGTTATGCATCAGAGAGTTGGACAATAACCAAGGAGGATAGAAGGAGAACTGATGCCTTTGAGCTGTGGTGCTGGAGAAGAGTACTGAGAATACCATGGACTGCTAGGAAAACAAATAAATTTGTCCTGGAGAGGGTTAAACCGGGTGGCTCCTTGGAGGCAAGGATTCTGAGGCTCCGTCTAACTTACTTCGGACATGTAGTGAGGAGAGACCGGTCCTTGGAGAGTGACATCATGCTTGGGAGGGTGGAGGGACGGCGCAGGAGAGGCAGGCCCTCTATGAGGTGGATTGATTCAGTGACTGGGATAATTGGGATGGGAGTGTCAGAGACAGTGCGATTGGCACAGGACAGAGCGGAGTTTAGGGCTGTTGTACATAGGGTCGCTATGAGTCGCAGGCGACTCGACGGCACATAACAACATTTGTTTTATACTTAAATCTTATTTGTTTTAGGATCTATAAATAATAATTTGACTCAGTAAAAAGAATAAAGGTCATATATACCCTTGGAATTTTTGTTAATGAACCAACCAGAAATTTTAATGAAGCAAAAACTAAATCAGGCAATTTAGACTTATTTCTACTATTTTATTTTTGAATAGCCTAAATAAAGTAAATCATTACTAAGTAGGATATGACTCCTATTGAATGGTGAATTGTTTCACTTATAGGTCTTTGATTTGTCTGTTCACATGTATCAGGAATGGTAACCATCTAAGATATATATCTGTTGTTTTCTCAGTACAGTCATTCATGTGTATAAATATCTTGGCAATGAGAATGTCTACTGCTTTGAAAAAATCTTGGCGGAATCCAACAGTGCAATCTAAAAATTTGTGTGTTTTAAGATCTTAAGACAATTAGCTTCAAAGATTGGAACAAAAAAAGGAAAATAATTGTCTGAGTATGTCTTCTGTTTATACTGAGGTCTGTATTAAAAAATATTCTGAGGTTATATGTAAGTACAGTAGAAAATAATACAGTGATTAGTGCTGTCAGCCAAGGGTACTGAAAAGGTTAATTACTTACCTACCATTTTAATTCAATTCTCTAAACAGACAAATATGATTTATCACTTTCTTTTGAATGACTGGGTGCCTTAAATACATTGTATTCATTGTTCTCAACTCTTTTCTAGGAATATTTTCAAACTCAACAGACTAAAAATCAAGAAAGTGAACTGAAAATAAGCACATTTTCAGACAATGGTAACAGAACTATTCTAAGCATGTTTTTCTGTTTGATATAGTTTACTTTTTTAGAATGCCTCTGAATATTGCATTGTTTGTGTTTAATTACCTTTAAAAGAAAACATGAGTGCATACTTAATTTTCTGTAAATACTGATTTTCTCGTTGTTTTTGTTTTTATAGCTTCACAGTTGTCAACAAGCATTCCACTTTCTTTAGCATCATCTAGCATGAAGAAAGTGCTTCCTTCAGTTTCAGCCATACCTACGCAGGTTTCCTGTTCTGTTTGTAAAAAAATTCTTCAGCAGGGGCAAACTGCTTTTCAGAAGAAAGGGTCTCCTCAGCTTTTCTGTTCCACAGCGTGCATCTCTGAAAACAATTCGCCTGTCACTTCACCAGCTCCTTCCAAAAGAACTTGCTCAAACTGCACTAAGTATGTAATTCTAAACTATGGTTCCCCTTTCACTTCCCTGCATAGATCTTGGTCAGAGTTTGAGTATAATTGTCTCCATTTTCATTTTTCTGAAAAAGCATCACCTGGATTTAGTGAGTCTTTGTTCATTTTCTCTAATAGTTTTTGTGTGTTTTTTTTTAAAAAACCCAACTTTTCGGTTAAACACACCTCAGAAATATTGCAAATTTGGGTTTAGACCAGCACAGTGAAGCAAGTCACACATGTCTAATAATAAGTTCTCTAGAAAAGCAAAATCAATAAAGTCTATTTATTTTATTATATATAATAGAGAGAGAGTGTGTGTGTGTGTATGTGTGTGTGTGTTACATATACCGACACAAAGATTGATCTCAAGGAAATGGCTCATGCACTTACATAGGCTGGAAAGTCTCAAATCTTGGGTCAGACATCAAGCTAGATGCTTCTCATTCATATACCTTTAGGGATTGACAAACCCAGGATTGACATGTCATATGGCAGGGTGACAGACTAGCCGGAGTCTAAAAATCAGAGGTCAGTTAATAAAGAACAGCATCCAGAACAAGTAAAAAGAGACCTTTGCAAGATATCTGTATATATTCAAAGTAGGCCACGCTCTCAGTGAAATTCCCTTCAACTAATAGGCTTCTGAGCAGATTTTATCATGAAAATAATTGCATTTCAGGGAGCTCTGGTGGCCTAATGGCAAGAAGCTACAATACAATCCCAGAGGTATGCAGTTCAAATCCGACAGATGCTCTGCTGGAGAAGGAGGGGCAAGCTCCTCCTGTACCAGTGAGATCTGATTTGACGGTACACGCACAAAATAATAAAGTAAAAAGAAAAGAATTGCATTTCATATTAAGTCTCACCAAGAACATTATTATATCAGAGCTCACTAAAGGAATGAGTATCATAGGCATCCAAGTCAACTTACAATCTTAACCATCACAAATTTTTTTGGTTCCTAGTTCATATAAAAGTAATATTTACATTAGGCTGTATAGTCTACTAAGCATGCAGTAGTAGCTTTATGAGAAAATTTTCATTATGAGCATTGGCATAATACGACACACAAAAAGTGAGCCCATGCTGTTGGAAAAATGGTGCTAAGAGACTTGCTTTAAGGTTGCCTCAGACCTTCAATTTCCTTTTCTTTGTATGGTGCTTTGGTTTGGTTTTATTTTCTTTGAAGCACAATAAAATGAGGCTTGTCTATAGCTGAGAAGCTTTGAGGCATTTGAGCATAGAGAGTTCTGTTTCTCTTCAGTTTTCAATAATGTGACTTCCAAAACACATTTCCCAATTCTTTTCTGTTGAGATTCTCTGGAAGTGGAATGAATATATGTCACTCTTTTTTTATCATTTAATTTATAGACAATAACTACTCAAAAATTAGTTAACATTTCTTTTGGAACTCAAGGTAATTAAATAATATAATGGCAAATGAGGAGGCTTAGTGCTTTTGAAAAATTACATATATATAAAAGTTAAATAAAGATCTGTGCAGGGTCTCTTCCTAATTTTTAAAACATAGGTTAAGGCATTATAGATGAGAAAAAGGAAGTTCATAATATATTAGTGAAAAATGTCCAGACCTTAAACCTCAACTCTGAGATAGATAGGCTTTGAAAGTCCTGTAAGTATAACTTTGGATTATTAGTAAGGCATTGAATACTAACACTAATAGAATTTAAATTTTGATTCTAAATCTAATTAATTCCTTTCAAATAATCTCTCATTTTGGAATCTGATTGTCACAGTTAAAATCTTGCTTCCTTCATTTGCAGTTACATTTTGCTACCCAAAAACGTGACCCCTATGTAAGCATCACCTCAGAGCTTATTAATCTCATCTAAGATCCTTAGACAGTTCATACACGTGCTTATGGTTGAGAACCATCAAGAAACTTCTGTTTTTTATATTCCCTTCTACTAAATATACATAATAATAAAAAATGTATTTAAGTGATCAGGGCAGTATTGGCAAATAAGAACTTAGTAAATATGAACTGTCATCATTGTTCTCTTAAAACTCACAAATCCTTTTTTATTACTTGTTGCAGCTCTTTTGGCTGGTACTTCAGGTATCATTCATCACTTCAAATCTTACACTCTCCTCAATTCTGTTTAACCTTCTCCTTTGCTTTTTCAACATCTTAATAGCGTACCTTCTTTTCTCGCTCATCCTCTGTCAATTTTTTTTTTTGGTATTGTTATATACTGTTGAGTCGGAATTGAAGTTGACCTTTCAGCAGATTTTCTGAGACAGTAAATCACACAGGAGGCGACTGCCCATCTTTCTCCCATTGTGCAGTTGGTTTTGTATTGTGTTCCTTTCCGTTGACAGCACAACTCCTTACCACTAAATGAGCACTGTTCCGTAACAGTTTTGCTATAGGTGGTTTAAATTTGATCTGGAAAACTATTACGCTAAAAGTCTGATATCCTGACAGTTCTACTAGTATCTTGGTAGTTCTTGTAACAGCAGTTCTTAAACATTCTCTTGTCAGGACTCTTTTACACTCATAAATATTATTCAGACTCCCAAATAGCTACATTTATCTTTGTTCCAAATTAAAACTCGGACAATTAAAAATATTTATTAATGTAAAATATTTTCCATCCAGTTGTATTTTAATATAAATATCATTTTTTT